TTATGACTCCCGAATATATTCTTTTTATTTAAAATATAGTGTAAATTTTTTTACAATTTGCAAATAAAATTTTTGTAATTTGTAAATCAATGATTTATTAGTTTTTATAAAATATTTTAAATATATATTATTTATCAATCTCATAAAATTTATTGATTGAAATCATAAATAAGAATTCATTGAGAAAAATAGTATGGTTTTATATTTAAATTTTCTTTCTCAATGAAAAAGATAACATACCTGGGTGAAAAGATGATAATAGTAAAAAAATTAGCAAAATGAATTTTCTTGGTGGAATTTTATGTTTTTATTTTATTTATTACAAGTTCTTTAATTGCTAATTTGTTTTAAAATGTGAAATAAATATATATATTTATATTACATAAATTTGAATTGTTAAAAAAATTTAATAATTTTTTGCGGGCTAGTCCGCTAGAAAATGGGTTGAGTTGAGTTTTCGAACTCATTTTATCTGGCAAGTTGGCCCAACCCAACCTGCAAAAGTGTTAACCCATACGGGCTAGCCTGTAACCCATTTGCCAGTGCTATGGTGCGTAACGTTAATTTTTTACCCTTTCATAAGTGAAAGAAGGAGAAATAAAAGGCATTAAAAAGGGTGGGGAAGTTTAGAATTACTAATTTAAAAAAAAGGAAGGAATATTGTTGATATATCACTGTTCACATTCTTTCTGTGGCTTGTAAAGAAATGCCATATTTAGAAATTGATTTTTTCCCCCATTTTGATAGGGAATATTGCTGTTATCAATTGCGATTCATTATTAAAAACATACCTCTTTTAGGTGGAGGAGTTGCAGGTTCTTTTGATACTAATTTTACCCCTCATATCATTATTACATTTAATTATTGGAAGGTAAGCATCTGACACATTTACTTGCCATATTGAGCTTTTGTTGTGCAATTCAAAGTTTTGTTCTTCAATTTTTTTTTGAAGTGAGTAAAAGCATGTCTATAATATTCCCAACCCTGCATGTCAAATCAGCCTAGGTGGTCCTTCATTTTTCTTCATCCTCCTCATCATCTAAAGTATCATGCTCAACTGCTATTTAAGGGTTGAAAGTTTGCAATGCCTTTCAGCTACGGTGAAAAATGCTTTATTTCATACTTTATTCACTGGCACTTCAAATACAAAAAGTTCAGCTCATTTAAGTGGTTTTGCTCTCCAACATCTACAGTTTCATTGTAATGTTGATTTTCTTTTCATCCTTCCATAAGAGCAATTTTGTTCTCCTGCCTTTATTCCAAGAAGATTTGGTTTATGGCCATTTTCACACAATTTTGTTGCATAACTATGAAAAACATTGTACCTATTATACTTCGCTTTTTTTTTTAGAAGGCAAATGTTGAGACATTTGTGGGCACAGTTTGAACTCTCGATTTAAGCATCACAAGGATGTTGCTATGCTAGTTGAAGCCAAGGTTCTTAACGTTATACTTAGCTTTTGTTAGTCATATGGTGTGATCTTATGTGGCAACCCAGTTGGTATCCAAGATGGTATCCCACTTGACAATCAAGTCCTAGATGATAGTATATATGGTGACAAAGTCCTAAGTGACATGCCATGTTACCAAGTTATCTCAAGCCAATTCATCTAAGTAGAGGAAAGTCTAAGTAAAGATATTTATATTCAAAATACTATAATACATAGTGGGACCCTAAATCAACACATTAAAAGCCTAATACATAAGCATACACATTAAATTAAGGCATAATCTTGCAGACCTTTTTTTATTTAGTACTTGTGATTCAAGAACGAATCGAATCTTCTTCAAGAGGGAGGAAATGACAAGAATCAAGGGATAAGTCAGAATCGAACATTTAGTAACTTTGATCTGTTGTAGGACGTAAAGGATCAATGACTAGATCTAAAGCTAAGATGATTAAAAAAGCTCTAAATTCATTAATTAAAAATGTTCTAAATGATCAAGAGGTCCTAAAGATAAATGGAGTTCTAGAAGATCAAATAAAAAACTTAGAATATTAGGTCTAACTTGTGATATTTAGGCTATGAGTCCAATGAGTTTAGTTATTATCATTTTCTTAAATTCAAAAAATTAGTTTAGTTTATTTTAGTTTATTTTGTTTTAAAGTTAAATAAGGATAAAATATATCTTTAAGGATATGATTTATTCATTTGGATCCTAGATTAACTAGGATTGTGTCATTTTGATTTTTAGAAGTCTATTTAAATAGTTCAACCTATTGTATTTTTTTTTAAAAAAAAAGACTAGATATGAATTTATGAATTGAAATTTTTTTTAATAGTGAGACTGTTTCAATCAGTGTTGTTCTGTATGAGATAACACATCATGAGATTTCGGATTATTGTGAACTGTTGTTTGGTTGCCCCGTATCATCTCTACTAAACATTTTGATCCATTTGAAAATATTTGAGCTAGATGTCTGCTCCCTTGCAAATCTATATTCAATTTCATATTGTGAATCCCTTATTTCTTTATATTTTTCTTTTTCGTCAAATGGGAAAAAGAAGAGGTGACAAAGGAAGACATCTGTGTTAACTTTCAAAGTAGACCAGCAAAGAACTTATCATAGTGTCAGGTGTTTGTAGAACACTTACAGCATGCCTGAATAGATTTTTGGTAAAATTTAGCTTGATAAGAAATAGATAAAAAAGAACAAGAATGATATTTATGGTTTAAATGCATATGGTCTTTGGTTTATCTCATAAAAGGTGGCACAGTTAACTATGAGTAGTAATGCATTCAATATGTTGGCTTAAAGATTCATTCATATTTAGGACAGTTTATTAATATATTTTTCAATTGCTATACTAACAACACAAGAGGGGGGAGAAGCACATTACGAGGACTTAATTTACCATTAATAAAAAGAACAAAAAGCTTATCTTCTTATTAGTATATTTTTCAATTGCTATACTAACAGCGCAAGAGGGGGGAGAAGCACAGTACGAGGGCTTAATTTACTATTAATAAAAAGAACAAAAAGCTTATCTTTTTATTAGTATTTTTTTCAATTGCTATACTAACAGCGTAAGAGGGGAGGAGGCACAGTACGAGGGCTTAATTTACTATTAATAAAAAGAACAAAAACTTATCTTTTAAACGTTATCTTTATGTCAATTGACTTTAACCATGTAATATGTATAACTTGTATTGTACATTTCTACAGTAAAGTCATTACCGATTTACCCTTAGCTCTAATCTTGTAGTATAGAAGGTATTATTTGCAACTTCGTTGTATTTTTTGGAACCTCTATTTTGAGTTAAATATTATGTATACACACTCCCTCCATTTCTTAATATAAAATGAAGTTTGAAAGGTTTTTTGTTCTAAATATAAGACAAAATTAGAGTAATTAATATATTTTTTTTCAACTTTACCCCCTATTTATTGTCATTTGAATTCTTACATAACAATTATTATGATCCAATAATTATAAAGAAGGGTAAAAGGGAAAGGCTATAACCCTTTTTTTTTTTTTACATTTCAAGTTTATAACCAACATTTCTTAATAAGCATAAAGTTTGTTAACTTCATCTTATATTAAAAATTAAAATAATACATGCCATTCTCAACTGCAACTCATTAAAAATTTGGACATGTCTTTTTCAATTGCTATATTAGCATCACTAAGAAAAAAGAGCGACATTACCACGAATTACTTTACCAATGACCAATTTACAAAATTTCTAAATTTTGAACAGTATCATCATGCCCATTGACTATAACTGTGCATAACTTCTTTTCTTTTTTTATTGATAACCATGCATAACTTCTATTGTCAATATATATGACTAAATTGTTATTAATACATCTTTCATGTATTGCTCAACTCCTTATGATATGAAAAGTATAGTCCCAAACACTCAGACCATTGCCCGAGTTTATTTCAAATAAATCAATTACTCCTACTGGCTCAACAAGAACAAGAGGAATTTTATTGGTGATCGGTTTTTAATAAGTTTACCATGTTCCAAAACTTTAGATGTCTCCATGACAGCTGATTATTTGCCCATCACTTGTATTAAAAATTTCTAAATTGAATATAAATAATTAATTCACCATTAATATATTATTCAATCATAATTTTTACAATTAATTTTACCATATTCTGCTCTCATTATTCTTTTCTAAATGATCCTATGAGATTTTTATAATAGGTGCAATTATGCCTACTTATAGACTAACAAAATTGTTTCTTTTCATAACTGTCACCGTCATTCATTGACTCCCATACTAATTATTTTAAATTAAAGATTCTCAATACAATCTCATCATCACCACAAAACAAGTTCACTTCTCATTTCCAAATTGAATTGATTTTACAAGTATACTAATAACGCTACTCAATCCCATTTCAATACACACCCATTTACCTTCAAAAACATGAACTGCCCGTGCAACACCTGGAGTGCGATCTAGTCAAGTTAAAAATATTTGTGGCAATCAGTTGAGCCGGCGAAGTAGCAACTTTTGTCTATAAATACCAATAGATGTGAAAGAACAAGAGGACTTATAGAAGTTACCGAACAAAGCAAGTCTAAAGCAGTCCTGTCGGCAAATTTCCCAACCCTATGACAAGAAAGCTAGAGGAATATCCCGAATTATTGACATATAAATCGAAGTTCAAATTACACATAAGATGTCTAAAGAAGGTGAATAGCTTGGGTTCAGTCGCCTGCGATGTACAGTTTTAGAGATGGAGAGGGCAAGCGGGCGCTCGGTTATGCCTGTGATGCATAGTGACATTGTAGGGGCAATCAATCATTGCTCGAGAGAATGCTAAACCTGAAAATTGTTGTGAGCGGATTCCCTCGTAACATCTATTCATTCATTAAAAAAAGGTGTAAACTGAGTAAAAGACACCAGATTTCAGTAGAAGTCATCAAAGGATGACTGTGACAATAGTTCTATCTATATGCCTATCTCTGATAAGAATGATGTGCCATCTGCCTTGATCTCTTAACACACAAAGCATTGCTCCTGCCTCGTGCGCCCAAAACAATAAAAGGCCATTGCCCCCACGTATATACACTTATGAAATACTGTACAGTGAACACGCTAGTCAACGCCGAATGGGTTTTCAATAACGAATCCTATTTGTAATAGTAAAAACCAAATGTGCCCCCAAAAAAATGACAGCTATGCTCTAGCGGACTGTACATCTTACCTCGCCGCTTTATCAAATATAAGGAGGCTTATAAAAAAGAAAAAAGAAAAGCATTTAAAAATTTTTTTACAGCTAATCTACAAGCAACTATCAATCTTCTGGGCGTTGAATCTCACCCATCATGATCCGGTTGCTAGAGACCTTGAAACCAAGAAGGGAAGGATCTATCTGTTTTCCCCTTTTCCCCTTCTTTTTGCCGCTCCGAACAGCTTGTGATCCACCATCAGACGATTCTGCGGCAGCTCCACTGGCTGCGTCCATCTCATGAAGAATTGGCCTTTTAAGCATGTCTATAAAGGATGTCTCTGAGACTGCACCATCGCTACCAGAGGAAGTTCTCCTAAATAGGACCTCTTTTCTACCAGAAGCCTGAGCATCAACCACGGTACTAATTGACGAGTTTCCAGAAGGCTCTCTTCTCCCTAATGTAGAACTCATCATTTCAATTTCTCAGGTATTAATCAGAAAAGAAACAGAGAATATAGCAAAACAATAGCACATACCATCACTAGCATGAGGTAAAGATGATTGGTCTGACTGAACGTCTGGGGAAGATAAAACACGAGATACAGGAGGGCGCTTTTGGAAATGACTATCAAGTACTTTCGTTGAAGGAGACACCCTATCAGTAATATAGACATAATCAAAATTTCGTCACTAGTAGGCCAACATAAAACTCACACAAGCGAACAAGCCATTTATTACAATTTACATTATTAACTGGCTTCTCAAACAATTACACGCTCTTACACATTTAGCACAAAGATCACTTTATGAGCAGTAGAAAACTCCGATCTCAATCATCTAGAACAATCATCAATAAGCATGTAGAAAAAGGCGAGATAATGGTTTAAAGAGCCCCATTTTGCTCTTTTTTATTTTGGGAGGGGACGGTATGAGAAGGAAGCGAAAAATCTAAGCAATTATCACTCATCAGCTTTCAAAATTCAGATGACATAGTACATAAAATCCTTCACAAGTTCTATAAAAAAAAAAAAAACAATCCTTCACAAGTGCATTCCTAACTTTCATTTTTGTAGGGAGTCATGGAACATTACCTGTCATTAGGAATCTCGTCTACCCGTGAATTACTCAAACCCATCTCACGATTGTATGGGCCCCCATCGCTGCCTGCAATGTTCATGCCCAACAATGATCAGTGAAATTTATACCATTTACAATAAGTTTGCAGAATGTGGAGGAGAATTACCTGCGCTGCATAGTGAACTATGTCTGCTATGCGCAGTAGCTGGCAATTCCATGGAATTCATGGTGCTTTGTAATTGTTCTGACAAGTCTGAGATACCTGAAAGCGATGCTTTCATTGTTCCTACAAACTCATGCCTCTGACCCTTATCTGCCTCCAACTCAAGTAAGTCTTTTTCCACAGTTGATTTACCAATCAAGAGTGGATTTCTGTAACTGGTATGTAAAGTATCTTTATTAGCAGATAAGAATGACTGCTCTTCCACTATCAATCCAGATCTAGACTGAATAGGCAATTTTTCATTGTTCCTTAAATTATCAGCCATCTGCATGATAAGGTGATCTTGTATTTGGGTTGTGGAATTGGCACTTCCAGGCCTTTCTTCAAATGGATCATTCAAATGGATTTGTTGATCTTGTGAAATCTCAAAAGGATAATTTAGTGAGTCAGAATCCCGAGCATGCCAAGAGTTGTCCTGACTTCTTGATGACAGAGGATGCCAATTATCAAAATTTGATGATTGTGTGGATTGAAGACCCCATTTATGATGAAGTAGGTCCATTAAACCTCGTGCAGAACTCTCATCACGTGCTCCGGCAGATGCAGGCATGTTTAGATCAGCTGATGAAATGGTACCCCCTAGCTCTATTCTGTGTCTCCCAGCTTCAAGATGTTGTAGTTGAAGCCGTGGGTCAGTCCAACTATTTTCCAGATGACTGTTGTTACCAGAAAGGGAACGCTTGTATGCATCCGGGTGACGAGCAAAGAGTTCATCAGATGCTTGTAGATGTTGAGAGGATAAAGAACTAAATTGATCAGTGGGATGCATATAGCGAGGTCGTTCTTGTAGGTCCATTCCTTGGACAGAAGCATTTACACCATCAAAATTCATTGCAGGAACACCAGGAGAAACCGTTGGAGACCTCTCAAACATCAAAGAATTAGGCTCATAGAACCCTCTATGGTTCTGCTCAGCAAGATTCCTGCTCAGATAGTTTAACTGTTCATCTTGTGCCAAGAGTCCATGCTGCGTTTTGTGAATATCAGAGGAATTAAAGCCTGCTGAGGAAGTAAGTCGATGGGTTGAAGAATTTCTTAGTAGATGTCCAGTGTCATTGATTGGCCACGACCTTCCAAATTGTTGTTCCCCCTCCAATCCTAACTGTTGTCTCAGAGCCATAGATAGCTGTTGTGCTTGCAACTGTTCTTGCTGAAAATGAAGTTGCTGTTCAGAGGGAAGGATGTTCCCATGCCTTGCTTGCAACAAGAGATCCGACAGGTCAGATTGCCTTTCTTGGACAGCATTGAGACCAATATTTGCTCGGATAATCTGCTCCATTGATGGATCAAGATGCCTCAAGGAACAAGGATTCTGCTGCAAGTCATGCAATACCTGCCTCCTCAACTGAACCTGATCAAAAAGATCATCCCTTATAAGATCAAGTTTTGGCTGCCTGAAATTAGGATCAGGTATCTGCTGATGCATAAATTGTTCAAGAAGCAATTGCTGAGCTTGTGATTGCTGCTGTAATTTCATTTGTTGGAGAAGCTGTTGTTGGTGCATCTCATGCTGCTGTTGAAGCTCAAGCTGGCGTTGCTGTTCAATCTGAAGTCCCATAAGATGTTCATAATCTGATCCTGAAGTCTGGATCATCTGCTGAAAATTAGAGTTCCTGCTCTGAGAAAGTGAAAGGCTTGGAACTCTCTCTAAGTCCGGCACAGTATGATGGGAAGCAAAATGAGAAGGTAGACTATTCTGCTGTTGAAGTCGTTCCTTCTGCAGCTTCTGCAACATGAGATGCTCTGCACTATCAAAATTATTAAATTTTGGTCCCATATGGGACAAGTAGTGATCATCTAGAGAACCTATACGAGCATTGGGATTAAATTGCCTATTTACTGCATATTCATCAGACCATGTGTCCCTGTATGAAGGATGATTAGCCACACCACCAAGAGAGCCTTGATCAACAAAAATAGCATCTCTATCAAGCAATGGATCCACATGATGGCCCTCATCACCTAATCTTGAAGATACATTGGAAGATTTTGCACGCCTTAAACAAGAACCATCTATGAGCTCAGACATCAATAGACCAAAGGGATGCAGCTTATCAACCTCATTATGTGTATCACTCCCAGAAACTTCACTCGCAACCATTTTTCCAGGAGGATGGGTATGTGAAGTGTGGACATCAGCAGGCCTTGTCAAAGAGCTATCATTGCTGCTTCCGGCCATTCTGGATAAGATGTCTACATAGAGAAATAAATATGCATGAAGATTAGAAATAGATGCATAAACAACAGGTATGAATCAATAGATTGATCATAGACTAGTTAATGGATGGCCATAGTAATGGCAAAATGAGAAAACAATCACTTACTGTCATCTTGCTTGATAAAATTTGTGAAGGACTGATCATTTGAGAACCTGGTTTCAGAGTGAAAATTTTGACTAGGCATTTGGGAATGAATACCAACACTCAAGGTAGCATCAGATTGAGATGAAACCCAAGATTGATCATCTACTATGGTAGACCCATCATAGTCAGGAGAATGCGCATTTACTGTTTGGTTCCTTCCACTGGTCTCAGAAGGTTGGGGTTGAGAAATCAGGTTACCCCCAGAAATGGATCCAGATTTCAGTTTAAGATGAGGCATAACATCACCAAGTTCTTGAAAGGGTGATCCTTCAGGAGCATTTGACAATCGAACTGGTAAATCTGTCCCAAAAAACCCTTGTTCAAACCATAAAATGATGTCAATCCCAAGAAAGGGTCCTTGAATTACCCCTTGAGGATCAAGATAGCACAAACTTAACTCCTCCAAAGGGGTACCAATCTCAGATGAATGTTTCCTCTCATTAGTTATCGTGTCTTGTTCATTAATTCTTGGCATTCGCTGCAGACGTGAAAATTCAAAAAGAGAGCGAGAATCATTAGGCAAGTTGCTATTCATATCTATGGCAGCAGGTGACTCAATAAGATCCTGATTGGCATGGTTCTGAAGGACTGGAGCCAGTTCCTGCTGGCTTTCACAAATTCCCGGTTTAGAAACATTGTCACCAGGGGTACTAGCCTCTCCAGTGCTGCTGGCAGAGTTCTCATCTCTCCTATGTACATCAATTGTCTGCATATGCTTCTGATTTCCTTCTTTAAAAGTCGCAGTGTCTGAAAGGGCACAATGATTTTGTAAACAATGTTTATTTGAAACTAAATGGAACTTCGTCTGATTAAAACAATTACAAAGATAAGATCAATTCCTCACCATCAACTATATTTCTTAATGAAGCACCAGCATTTGAAGGTCCACCAATAAAATCACCACCACCATTCAAGACATCAGATCCTGATATAACGCCTCCTCCCATGCCAATTGAGGTAGTGATTTTTCCTTCCCTTACATTCTCATCAATGCCTGAGGAAAACCAGAGAGTCTCAATCAAAAAGGTTTAAGCTAACTGATCAGGACTGACAGAAATAATTTATCACCTGATGTATCATCAGTTGAGCCTCCGTCCTTGCCTCTAAAGGAGTAGCTTGAGACTTCACTGCTAGTAATTTTCCCCCTCAATATATCTCTAAGGACAGCCTGCGATCATTATCCATGACTTGAGAATAACAATGGTGCAAGTGCTAGTGACACTTTAAGCAGATCTTCGAGTACACAAATATAAATGTTAAATGGGTTGAATCAAAAGACATAGCAAAAACTTTCCCATGTCTTCAATGTATAAAATTCATTAAATTAATAGCAGCAAGCCATTCCACGTACCTCTTCCTCAGAAGCTGGAGCAACAAAAGCCAATGGTTCTACAGAGCCAAGCTGAGTTACTGTTGGTATATGCTCCACACCAGCAGGCATGATGTCAACAGTAAGATCAATCTTTTGTTTACGATATATGTCTAGTAGCTTACCCCTAGGGTAGGAATATAAGTCTGAGTTAAGGCTAGGCTTTCCCAATATGACTATGTTCTTATCCATGAGTGCAGACCCAAAAGTAGAGCCCAAGATAGGTTTTCCAATTTGTAGGTTCCCATTGATATTGGCCCTTCCTCGTCCAGGAGCAAATCGCACATTGGAAGCCTCTACACGTCCTTTTTCAAGTCCAAATCCAGGAGCAGCGCGGTATGTGGCCACGGCACCCACTTGAGTTTCCATTCGATGGCGTGGTCTCCATTTATCACGAGATTCAGTGTCACGTTCAGAACCTGCCCGGTTAGTAACACCAGAGGATTGCTTTTCAACATAAGCATCTTCCTTCTCAACATCATTCCTTTTGTCACTCCGTGAATCCTTCTCCTTATCTTCAGGTCCCCATCTCGATGACCACTTGTTCTCTCTACGAGACTCATGGCCAGAACTACGGCTATCATGCCAACGGTCAGAAGACAAGCCTCTATTATCAGGTGTTGAGGCGATTTCTGAGCGACGATCTTCTTTTCTGCGATCTCTTCTCCCAAGTAAGCTTGTTTCCCTCTCCTCTTCACGCCAACGGCGACTAATGTCAACATCTGGGACAGTCCTCCTCCAATCTTTCTTGTCTTGAGACCCATCCAAACGCCAACTATCTTTCAGTATGGGATCAGTAGCATTCCCCTGGAACAAAGGAACAAGCAGATGATCGCCTATCAATTTTCATGGTGGAGCAAGACATTGTGAAAATAAAAAAGAACGAGACAACACAAAAGTAGTGTTAACATTATAATACATTACAGCATGAAGAAACAATCTACTTCTAATTTTAAAAATAAATGAATCTAAAATAAACTATTCTGTAAAAAATGAAATAAAATAAACCTTGTGCACAATCACAAGAATGAAAGAGAACGTGACCAAACAACACTTGAATGGTACCTGTTCCTCCACGAAACAGGAAGGGCCCTCATTGCTGTCTAGATTCCCCCCCCTCCTCTTTGTCTAGAGAAGAGCAGAATCTTCACTCTTAGCAAAAAGAAAAGAAAAGAAGAGAAAAAAGAATGATGCATGGTAGCTCCAATAATGATGATCAAGAGCATCTAAATCAATAATACTAGCCCCAACCACAAAATCATTAATATTTCATGAAATTGTCAGGTCAAGAAAAACGCCATTATCCTCTGGAAGAATCTACGAATTTAAAAAAATCAAAGTGCAGATACACTATAAGTGCATGAAGTTTTACAACACACAAGAACCCTAGAAATTTGCAATTGGTTGTCACTAAACTAAAAATTTATCACAATACACCAAGGTCATGACAAATTCCCTTCCACAGATTTATTGCTCATTGACTTGCCCACTGTGAAGAAAGGGGGAAATCAAATAATATGTGCCAGATTAAATCAATTTGCAAACTACATGTCTGCTAATCTTATGGAATTCAGCTACAAAATAATGTAAACTACCACAAATAAATCTAGATTCAAGCAAGGGTTGTACTACATTTCAAAAGCTACCAAGAAATTTAGTCAAAGCATAGTGAAAATCAAGAACGCTGTACAAACTTGAAAGCGATTGAGAACAAAGATCAGACTTTCAGTCTCTAGAAGAATAATTACTTGCGATATAGAGCCTCAATAGGCAAATAACATAAGTGGAAAGGCAATAAAAGTATAAAACTTTAGAAACAATTTCAGCCAATTCAAAAGAGTAGGTATTGGCGTATTGCATACCACCACGGTGTTGGTAGATGATACCCTTGCGTCAATGGGCTTGGAATAGAGCCATTGTGGAGATAAGGGTATGCTGTTGTCAGGTGACACTTGATCTGAAAGAAAAATCAATTATCAACCAATCACCTTCACCTAACATGCATAATGGGAGAAACGCAACTAAATGTTTGATTTATAGTTAAGTTACACTTTCACAAAGATTTAACAAGTACCTTTCAAATCATCAAGCACACCAACAATACCTTTCTCCTCACCATGCCCTTCCAATGCTTCATCTGGCCCATACAAAACGCCAATGTTGAACATGCAAACAAACAAGTAAAACATAAAGATAGGATCTACGCTATTAATAAAGTAAACCAAATAAACTTAAATGTCAGGAGGAGTGCCGTAATTTGCATTTACATAATGCCACGAAAACTAAAATAATCATCAACTAAATCCATGAAAGCGTGTAAATCAATGTATCATTCTGACTTTGCTGATACCGAAAATAGCAAACACCCCCCCAAAAAAAAAAACACACACACACACGCACACACAAAACTGAAATAGTGAGCTGTGAGAAGAAAACTTAACAATAAGAGACGGGCGAACATATCAATCTCCACACCTTAATAGTAGGGGCAAACTCACTCCGAGACAAACCGCGACCATTGATAAATCATAGCATCGATAAAATAATAAATGCATCTAATCCAAATTAAGCTATTAAACATACTGAGACAGCTAAAACGAGACTAGCGGAAATCGAGAGACACTTCAATCCTCAATATGAAGTAAGGTCAACCGGAAAAATACATAGGGGAGAGCCATAAAATATTCGGCCTGGCAGGAGTGAGTCCTCCTTATGATATACACATATAATACATGGTAGATTTAGATTCAACGGACCCAGACAAGTAACAATTTCAAACGAGCACATATTGCAATGAAGATTACAACAGGTATGATTAGATGAGGAAAAACATCTTTACGAAGAAAATTACCTTTAACAGAGAAGTGTCCATCGCTAGTCTTTAGAAGAGATCGTCGGGAAGATTGGCCTTTCCGTCAGCCATCGTCGTTGAGAGCAAGATTGCTGAAATTCTGAGACGAAGATCCGGAAAAAGAAAAAAGTGAGCTTGAATGCGACGAGAGGAAAAAATGGAGCTCGGATTGATACCAGGAGAGTAGCCTCGAGACTGAGAGGAACCAAGGAGACAGAGCTGTAGGGTCTGTGAATTGCTGAATATGAGGCAGAATAATGGACGACTTGGGAGAGCAGAGGGGCAGAGAGAGAGAGAGGGGGGGGGGGAGGCAACGGCGAGAGGGGTAAGGGTTTGGGTCAGAATAGCCACAGCGAGAGTGGGTTTTTTTTTTTTTTCCATTTCTTGTGGGGGAACTTGGCCGTATTTATATGGGAGAAGGACAGTAAATTTGTTTAAAATATATAAATAATAATTTAATTTTTAAAAATGCTATAACTCCTTTAAAATTTTAAAAAAAATTCATATTATCAATAAATTTATATAAATTATTAAATTATTTTTATTAAAAATAAATAATTCATAATTTTTTATATTCACAATTTTTTTATATTCATGATAATAAATTATAACTTTATATTTAAATTATTTATTTACTGTTGTATTATTATTTGTATAAGAGAAAAAGTTATAAACATAAAAAAAAAATTGTAAATTATTTATTTTTAATAAAAATAATTTAATAATTTATATGAATTTATTAATAATATAAAAAATTTTAAAAATGTCATAAAATTATAATATTTTAAATATTAAATTATTATTTATATATTTTAGAATGATGTTATTGTTATTTTTCCACTCAAGTACCAACTCTCATTAAATTTTTTTTTTCTTTCCGTCATTTGACATTAGACAGTGTGATTTTTTTTTTTTCGGTGGGACCAGACAGATTGTCTGGTTAACTGATTTACCTTGCGTGTGCGTGTGTTTTTTTTTTTTTATTATTTATATTACTATTTTGATAATTTTATTTTTAAGTATCGTGATTGCATGAGCAGGACAGGATGGAGTGTAACAAATTTTTAAGTAGAGCGTAATTCATGAAAATTATCATATGTTGGTGTGTAAACGATTCCTGGTGGTAGATGGTGATAAAGTGGTGAATGGCGATATAGAGTTAAACTTATTCTGATGTGGTCAGAAAAATAATTCTTGATTTAACAAATTTAGTTATTAAGAGATAATATTAACTGATTAATAATCATGTGTATGTAACTAGATTGTATCATTAACGAATCAGTGTTTGCTCAGTGCCTCTATCCATTCATTGTCGCCGACGAAAACTTAACAGTTACAATGTAATCGAGAACCCTGGGAAGTGAGTGGAGACAGGCTAAAAACCAAAATGCTTAAATCCTCAAATAGTTTTGTGATTGATGATTGATGGGTTGTGTAATGTGAACAAAATGGTCAATATAAATATTATTAAAAAAATGGTCAATATAACTTATTAAAAAAAAATAGAAAGCGGCATGGCAGGATAATGTTCATAGTTCGGTGAACTTTGGTGAGTTTTTTCTGTCACAGCACATCATATTCGGCATAAACCTTCTTGCATCTTTGGCTCGAAAAAACTTTCTAACATCTAATATAACAATTTCATTATTTTCATTCAAAATTTTAAATTAATTATTACTCAACATTTATTATACTTTTATACCGTGTCTGAACCTTGCAATTATATTCATATGACATTTACAATTCAAATGTAGTATGAAATTATTAATAATTTCGTTTCGATGAGATAAATAGTTGGTTTCTCTTCCCTTACTCTACACAATTATCATGTAATACAAATGATGTAACGTGATGGTCCTGATATTGTGAGTATAATTGACCAAAAAAATACTATGAATATAATTTTTAGTAAACTTTTTTTTTTCAAATGATGCTGTTCAATTGATTGACAAAAATTTTTTAAATAATTTAATATAATTATGAATACTCATTCTATCTTTTTTTCAATTGATATTCATTCTAACTTTGCGCAACACACAGAAATTAACTATCTGTTGAGTCAGTTCATATAAACTCTGCCACATGAAAGCTCTTTTCTTCTATATTCGATGATTCCATCATCTCACTCAACTATAATGATTCCACAGACTCCAATTTTGACTTGGACACTTTTAAGGGCTTCACACAACATCAAACTTGACCATGGCGATGATGGCAAAAGCAACAACTTAGATGTCATGTGAGGAGCATGTGATAAGTTGGGGGAGGATAACGATAATCTGGGGAAGTTAAGAATGGCAAATTTGTCTTTGATGGACAAAGCAGTGACATTATAGGCTTAAGCAATCATTTTTAGGGGCGAAAGTGTCGAGGCTCACGAATCTTGAACACTCATTTTTTTCAACTTTGCACTTAGACTCCAATCCATGATAATGTGAGAGATTGCTGGTAGAAGAAAATGATGAAGAAGAAGAGGACGATGAACAAGAAGGAAGGGCTACATTGCTTCAATTTTAAAACTTTAAAGACAAATAAGTTTCAAACAAAAGTTTATGATACCCAACACCCATAAAAAAAAATTCAGAACAAATATGTCATTTAATCCTCGTTCAAACTTTAATTTAAAGATTAACATTTTTTCTATTTAATGGTAGGGCAAAATATTATCTTTTTAAAAAGTTTGGGACAAAAATGCTTCAAAAAAAAATTAGGGTGCCAGGCACCTCTGAAAAAAAAGTTTCAGGACAAATTTACTATTTAACCCTACAGATATATATATATATCAAGTTTTGTTTTTAAGTATTTATGTGAATATTAAAGAGTTATCAATATGATGTTAAATAAAATAACATGTGCATTGTAAATTAGTTTAAAAGTATTTTTATATATTATTGTTAATTTTGATTGAGTTATTGTTAATATTTAAACAATCACCTATAAGTATTTGAACATGACTTATTAATATTCAAAAAACAAGCTGTCCAACAAATACTAACTCCAATAGAAAAAACCAATTTGTTCATAAAATATTGACAAATTATGAAGTTATTAATATTATAATAAATAGCATATTTTACATTTAAAATCTTTGATCAATAGCAATTTGCAAAATACCCAAAATCAACGTGATCATATAAAAATTATAATATATTTTTCTAACAACATTACCCGATGAGTTTTAGTTTTCTTCAAAAGGAAAAAGTCTAGGCTTATTAAATATTGAACGTTCTTATATTTGTATGATTTTAAGTTTAATATATAAAACACGAAACTGAGAAAAAAACTAGGACACAATAATGGTAAAAGAGAAGATTAATTTACTAGTCCTTATAGATTTTATCAATTTTAAATTAGGTCTTTATAATTTATTTTACTTTAATCAAATCCTTATAACATAATCCCTTAGACGTGTTAATATCCCTGTAGATTAAAATTCAAAGTTCATAGAAAATTTGATTTAATAATTTTGGCCAAAATAAAAAAAATATTTAATACACTGTCTACATTTTTATTATTTTTTATGAGAGTTTTATGAATAAAAATTATCTATAAGGCAACCCCGTTATATAAATTTTAAATTATAGAAATTATATAATTAATTGCAAAGTCATATAATGTTTTAGTGAAAAATTAAAAGTTCTTAATATTTTAAAAGAAAAATTAAAGAATTAAAAAACTTAATGGATCAAACAATTAGAGCAAAATTAAAATAAAATTTTAATTTAAAATTAAAGAAAATTATAAAGATCTGCATACATATTTTTCTCATGGTAAAATACTAAAATTGAAGTGCCGAATTAAATACCATCCAATTTATGGAACAAAAAAATCACTCAATTTAATGGCCCCACACCAGCTAAAATATTCCAATTTTAGAAGAAGAAAAAATCAGTCTAGATTCATTGACCACACTTGATAAAAAAAAAATTGTTCCTTGAACTCAAAAATTTCATTTTAGATCAAGGATGGCGAAGTAAAATTAAAATGTTAAAGGAAATGATAAAATTAATCTTCTTTCAATTCTGAGCTCTACAACATCAAACAACCTCCCTTCATGGTCTCACTCCTCCTCATCTCCGTGGTGATTGCATTGCTACTCATAAATGCTGCAACTTTTGTTAGTTATTACATTCTCCATTGTGCCTCTCACCCTCCACGTCCCTCTAATCATAAGCTTTAGGCCTTATTTGATATGAGGAATTAAAAGGATGAGATTGTGATTAGGCAATGCCACTTTTTCATGCTTGGTGTGAGGGAGACATTTATATTATTTATGTATGTTGAATGCTTTTAAATGGTTGCTCAACTTGTGTGAAATATAATTATCTTAACTCAAGAGACGTGCCGCGCGCCTTAAGGCTAGTCTAATCTCCTTAAAAGATTAATATATGTTGTAATTATGGGTAGTGACTAAGGTCATTATAGAGGGCTTAAATGAATGAATTATTGAAAGGTGAGTGAGCTGTAATGTACAGTAGTGCAAGACTAGATCTAGAGAGCTTGCCACGAGTTGAAGGAAGAAGACGAGGGCTTTTGTGTCCTTTTAGTTAATTTTTGTTGGATTTAGGTGTTCCTTTTTTTTTAAAACAAAATCATGACATATCAAACATCATTTTAAAATATTCTCACTGCCAATCCCAATGCTAATCACGTTCTCAATCCCTTAAAATTTAATACCTTACACCAAACAGGGCCTTAATCTCTTTATCCAAACTATTGAAGGCTTCTAGCGATGAATGACGAAAAATAGTCCATGCAGAAAGCACAGGTGTAGAGATGCCCTTCCATTTGCTTGAAAAGTGGCTTGTTGATGATGTTGCTATGATCTCATCAAGTGAAGATGCAGGTGTCCATTTTTTCTACCTTGGTTCCATTTTAGACTTTGGAAGTTTATTTTCTCACTTTATAGCCTTGACTTAAGCCAGATTCCTTCTATTTTCAAGCCTTCTGGTGCCCTCAATGTAAATTCCTTCTTTTTCTTCTTCACCATCATCCCATTCTATTTGTGCTTAATTGACTGACTCATTGAAATAACAATATTGCACATGCTTTTGAATAGTCATCTCTGCCGCTATATTGCATTTTGTCTGCCAATTGAAGTTTCAAGAAAATATTAGGGGTTTGGAGAGAGATCTCTTCAATGATTTGTTGTAATTGGGGAGAATTACATCAAATGACCACTCAAAAAAATTATTTATATATAAGGACTAAAACAAAATAAATTATTATTAACATGAGAATATAACTTTTTTTTAAATGAGATTGTTAGTCCTTATCTGTGAATGATTTTATTGAATGGTCTTTGGATATGATTGTTCCTTGCAGTTATGAACAACTTCAAGTAGAGAAACAAGCAACTTTAGTATGGGTAATGAATAATTCATTTTACCTTGATTACAACATTTGGAATAAAATTAAGATTTAGTAACGGCACAAATAATTCTTAGAGAGCAATAAATAATTTCATGTAAGGAAGTGAACAATTTCAGCATGAGTAATGAACAAATTATTTTGCCATGATTACAACTCTTAGAAAAAGAATCAAAATTCAATAATGACACAGATAATTCTATTGGAATAATGAACAATTTTATGCAAGGAAATGAATGACTTCAACATGAACAGTGAACAACTCATTTGATCATGATTGCAACACTTGGAATGAAATCAAAATTAACTAATGGTATAAACAACTCACGTGTGATAATGAACAATTTCATGTAGGGAAATGAACAACTTCAATATGGGTAATGGATAATTTGTTTTTTCATGGTTACAACAATTGACAGAAAATCAAGATTCAATAATGGCACAAACAATTTCTATATGTCAATGAACAATTTGATATAGGAAAATGAACAGTTCATTTTACCATGATTACAACACATAATAAAATAAAATTTCAATAATGGCACAAACAATTCCTGCAAGTCAATGAACAATTTCATATAAGAAAATGAACAATTTCAGCATGGGTAACAAATTTTTATTTTACCATGATCACAACACTTGAAATAAAATCAAGTTTCAGTAATGATACAAATAATTTTTGCAAGTCAATGAACAATGTCATATAGGAAAATGAAAAATTTATTTTACCATGATTATAACACTTAAAATAAAATTGAGATTTAATAATGGTACAAACAACTCTTGTAGATTAACGAACAATTTTATACAGAAAAATGAACAAATTATTTTATCATAATTACAATACTTGAAATAAAATCACTATTCAATAATTGTGCAAACAATTTTTATAAATTAATGAACAACTTGATACAAGAAAATGAATAATTTCAATAGATAATTAGAAGGGATGAGAAACAATGAAATAATTTTATTATGTATTTTAATTTCACTTCATTATGCCTGGTCTAAAGTGAATTTAAATATGGTGAAGGGTTTTACATCAAATTTTCCAAAAGAAAATCAGAACGGCAATGAATCAGAAACCACAGTAATGCTGAAACGACTTCGTTTTATATAGCTCGAGTTGAGTAGACGCCGCACCAGACTGTAGACCCGCCTTGGCGGCATTTGCACGGCATTCCGGTTGAAAGCAAGCGACGGATGAAAGCAGTGCACGGTAACAGCAGGGGCCGCAGTGGCAGCTGAAGAAGAAGAAGCAAAACATGGAGAATAGAAACGTTGTCGTCTGCGACAATGGCACCGGGGTACCTCTCTCACGCTTTCCTACCATGCGATTGATTATGAATGGATCGCGTTGCTTTATCTGCCAAGAACCATTTACTTCTTTCTAGATCAAAATTGGTTGTTTGCTGCATAGCACCGAATGCGGTTCACCATGTGTCCCTCTTGGTGAAGTTTTTTTCGATCTGTTGATATTTTATTCAGAATTGACAATTTTTTTTTATCTGTCTCCCTTTTCATCTTTCTGGACGTTGCTAATTTTGTGTAACCACCGATGAGTGTTGGAAGTTCACGGTCGTTTAACATAACTCTCAGTATGGATTATCCTATCCTTTCGTGGCATTAACTTTCTATGCTTGAGATTTTTGCTGTTTAACTGCTTTGGGTGATTCTAACTTCTTTGTTGTCATGTGTGGAGTCTTTCTTCCCCTTTTGATGTTGGATTTTCTTCTGAATGCAGTACGTCAAGTGTGGTTTTTCCGGGGAGAACTTCCCCACCTCTGTATTTCCTTGCGTGGTGGGGAGGCCGATGCTTCGGTACGAAGAATCACTAACTGAACAAGAGCTGAAGGTGTGGCGCTCTTGAACCGACAAACCTTCTACGTATAAGGAAAAATGCCATAAGACACAATTATCTTGGCCAAAAAACTTAACTGATGGCTCATTATTTGAATAATGCTTGACTTGTCAAGCAGCAAGGCCTGATGCTGAAAATCATATAAGGGAAATCTAATGAGTCATATTGTTGATCGGATAATCTTAAAATTGGTGAGCAATGTATATATTTCTAGAAGGAAGCAAGGCCATTTGTTTTTGGGGAGTAAAGGAAGCGAGACTATGTTGATCTCCAAGAAGTGCTTGTTATCATGATTTTGCCCCGCTAAAGTTTATTGAATTAATATATTGCTAAAGTATATTATATCTTATGCTTTGGAATGCACTGTTTAATGTAGGACATTGTTGTTGGGGAAGCTTGTGCGGATTTGCGACATCAGCTTGATATATCTTATCCTGTCAATAACGGAATTGTGCAAAACTGGGACGATATGTGTCATGTGTGGGACCATGCGTTTTACAATGAATTAAAAGTAATTTATTATAACTTCTGATTTGTCTGCTGACAACTTCGTTTTGTACTGTTGTAATATTTACGGTCAACGCTTAACATTTTTTTGGATAGATTAATCCACCAGACTGTAAGATTCTACTCACAGATCCTCCACTTAATCCTTCAAAGAATCGTGAAAAAATGGTTTGTGTATCAATTCCAACCTTTTCCTTTTCTAGAAAAACTATTTTCTCTTAATATCTGAATATACCTGGAACATCATTGTTTTATGTAATTTGACTTGGCAGGTTGAGATGATGTTCGAGAAGTACAATTTTGCTGGAGTATTCATCCAAATCCAAGCTGTTCTAACATTATATGCTCAAGGTGCTTATAGAGATGATTAAGGTTGAACTTTTGTTTTTCAGTTTTATCTGATCCTTATTGTAGTTTACTCCCCAAAATTTGACCATGCACTTTGAAATTAGATAGTATAATTTCCAAGGATTTGTAAATGCAATATATACTACTTCCATGGACATTTCATTGGCATGTGATCTCTTTGTACCTACAATTTAACGTTTCCTTCTCTTGTCCCAGGGCTCCTGACTGGACTAGTTATTGACTCTGGTGATGGTGTCACACATGTGGTAATTAGCTTAGTATTACACTGACCTTTACGATGGGGCTTTGTTCTATCTCCCTTTTATTTATCTGGACAAATCAGTTTCTTGAACCAGGGCTTTAATATAGATTTTTTTTTTAATGATTCATGTCACTTGTATATGATAATTAACACTGCTTTCAAACTTTATACTGTACCGTACTTGTGCAGTTTATGGAAAATGAGATTTCATCAGCTTGGCAATTGGGTTTTGAGGGATTGTTATGCAGATCTTGCATCCCAAATCTTAGATGAAGTGAATAGCCAAACTGTCGAAATACTTAGCTTATTTTGTAATACTGTACATTAGTCTTGAGAAAGTGGATAATGTTCAAATTATCTAATATTTATTGTTGCTGCAACATGATTTATGATTTATATGCTTATTTGAAAAAAATGTTAATAGTGCAACTTTTAATCCAGGTTCCTGTTGTTGATGGCTATTCATTCCCACATCTTACAAAGCGAATGAATGTAGCTGGCCGGCATATAACATCATATCTTGTTGACTTGCTTTCAAGGAGGGGGTGAAAGCTAATTCCCTTCATTTCAGTTCTAATATGATGGTAACTGGATGTTTACATCACATGCTTAATGTCTAAATGGTGCAAAATTTTATTTCCTCAAGGTATGCAATGAATAGGAATGCTGATTTTGAGACTGTAAGGGAGATCAAAGAGAAGCTGTGCTACATAAGGTCAACACACAATCTCATTCTACTAAGTTTCCTGGGTTTCATGTTTTTCTTCCTTGTCATGGCTATATCTTTTTTTCTGCAGTTATGACTACAAGAGGGAATACCAGCTGGGGCTTGAGACCACGATACTTGTTAAGAATTATACTGTAAGTTTTATTTCTAATTTCTTGAAAACATTTAAGGGCTATTTCTGTGTAAATGGTCAATGATCCTGCAGGCAGTTTTGCTTTATATTGCTTAATTGAAGAGTTTTTTTTTTTTTTTTAGGAGATCCACTTTGCCTTATCCTATAATCTGTTCTTTTATGCGTTTCTTCTCATATAGTATTCATGCTTGTCTGTGAATTCATTTACATTTTTTTTTGTTTTAATGTATTTATTATGTTATATTGGGATGTTTTATTGTCTCCTACAGTTGAATATGGTATACATGCATGCATGAAGTAGGTGTCATGAATTTATTGTTTTCTTCAATGGTGCTTATTGATATACACTCATGATCAGCTTCCAGATGGAAGGGTGATTAAAGTAGGAACTGAAAGGTTCCAGGCTCCTGAGGCTCTGTTCACTCCAGTAGGTTCTCCTTGTCCATTTTATTTCAAGTTTTCCATTGCTAGCACGTAGATTCAATGTTGTAATGGTGATCATAGTTTGCCGCTGTATGGGTTGAAGAGCCTTTTTGCAGTGAAATTTGATGGTTTGTGATTGCCCAGAGGTTTATCCTTCTTTCAGGAGCTTATTGACGTTGAAGGGGATGGAATGGCTGATATGGTTTTCCGTTGCATCCAGGAAATGGATATTGACAACCGGATGATGGTGCAATATTATATTTGCTATTTACAATATTTAATATTGGTATCATATTGTTATGTTCGGATTTGAATACTTGTTCATAGATTGAAGTTTATCAACTTAAAGAGTGTGGTAAAAGAAATTGTGTTTAGCTACACTTTCTAAGCAAAACTTATGAAGGTATCTGAGGCACTACTTGCTATTTGATTTAACTGTTCTCTTCTAATGGTTATCTAAGTTATCAGCCATTCCTTTTATTGTTGTTTTCTTGTATCGGCATTGAATGGCAAATCTTATTTGGAAAACTCCTTCAGTGATTTCATTTGTTTTTCTTACTTTTAAGGATGTCAGATCATATTTTAAGGTTTTCTGGTGCTTTGAGATTGATTTTAGAGGGACAATCGTGAGACTAGCACTGGATTTCTTCACTTCTATAAAAATAAATAAATACTGAATTATTTCACTCTTAATTAGCTGAGCTTTTAATGTAATTGATTGGCATTTAGGGTGTGTTTGTTTTATGTAAAGTGATTTCTAGCAGACTGTCTTTTTCTAATCACTTGTCACAATCCTCTTTAGGCTTTCCTTTCTTAAGATGTAAATTATTTTTCAGAACAAATCTGATGCTAGAAAATTTTAAAGGATGCATTATTTTCTATGAAAATGTCTTGTTGGAAATTATACTTTCCTGAAATTATTTTCTTGCTAACGACTTTCTGCTGAAAATATTTCCAAAACCAAAGTTGGTTTCTGTAATTTAAAAAAAAAAAATCCCAAATGGATCCTTTTCACGGTATCTGAGCAAGTAGATATCAAACTTGAATTTGGAGCGTTACAAATTTCATGAGCAGTTTCTTGTTCCTCGCTAAATGACTTTCTGCATTAGAACTTAGTAGTTAGTGTTTTGTCACATCTCCTGAAGATCGCATATCTTCTCATGACATCCAGCACTTGAGCATAATGTTTCATTATATAATTGTCATCTGCATCTTTACGGGATAATCATTTTTCATGATTTTAATTAATATTGAAAAAGTCCCATCAATGCTTAAAACCACAAAATCCTAAGGATCTTATCTCAGTCTTGCTTCTAAGAAGTCTTGCCACCTTCGTTTTGTTTTGAAAATATCGTGGAATTTAATGCATATAATGTTGTAATTTATTTTTAAATTTGCCTTCCATTCTACAGCTATACCAGCATATAGTTCTGAGTGGAGGGAGCACAATGTATCCTGGATTACCAAGCCGGTAGTTTCTTTTTCCTTTACATTAGCTTAGATCGTTCTTGACTTTTTTTAGTTACTGATACTCGGGGTAAACATCTGATGTGTTAACATAGTGGTCATTGCATGGTTCTTCCCCCATTTCTATCTCGCTTCGTTCTCCATCCTAACTTATTGGTAGGGATTTTTCAATAGTAGATGTAAATGTTGATAAAATCCTCCATGTTTGGCTCCGTTTATGTAGTGGGCTTATTGATCATAGTTCAAAATTGTTATTCTAGTAACAGGTGATTCCATTTTTTTTTTAATGTCAGTTGATTGATTAATTTTTCTGTGGTTCCAAGCAGGATGGTAATTATAAAATAAATAATAAATGTCAGCTAAGGTAGTTATAAAATTTGAGTTGTTAGTAACTGTTGGGCCTTGTGTGAAGGGAGGGTCCTTGTACGAGAGGCTTTTGGCATAATGAGAAATCGAGTTCTGCTTCTTGACTCTTTCAACTCTCAATTTGTACCTCCCTATCTGTTCCTCTCTTCTCTTCGTGTTCTATTCTTTCTTCTCTTCTACTTTTCTTCCTACGTAGCACCATGATAGATGTAGTGTGAGTGAGGTGATTGCCAACTTTTATACCATATATAAGTTGAGTTGTCTAATTCATGTTAAGCTATGCATGTCTTGTGTTGGGTGATATATTTACCTATGGTTCAAATATTGAGTTTGGGACTATTATTACAATATTTGATGGCTTTTTCCTACACTCTTTAATTATTCTTATTTCTTGGAGCCGTTGACTCTTCTTTTCAGATGGTTTTAGCCTTCCTTTTCCTTAAATGTTGTGCTTCCAAGTCAAGATTGATAAAGATTTGTTCTCTTTGTCTCTCTGTCTTTGCTCAGACTGGAAAAAGAAATAATGGATCGTTATCTGGATGTTGTTCTGAAGGGCAACCGGGATGGTTTGAAGGTAAACTTAGGTTTTCTAAATTTTTTGTGCTTTTCGGTTTACATATTTCCTTGTAGTGCCAAAGGCAAATGAGTACTGAATCTAATTTAGCAAGAAGTTTAGTATTGAACAATGAATGCACTATTACATCAGACGTTGCCCTGAGTGTTGTTACCCATTGGAATGTGAAGTTTGATGAAAGAGTTGTTCAAAGGGAGGATGATGCTAGTGGATAAAAGTTCGCAGAATTTTCCATGTAAAAGGGAATAAGGATGACGCACTAGAATTAACTTGTAGTTAACTTCGGCCTTGTGGCCTAATGGGCATGCATCATGGCTTAAGGCAATAAGGTGTAAGTTCGATCCCTGATTGTGGCCAAATGCCCCTTACGCTGTATGATCTAACAAGAAGAGGACAAAATATGAAATTACATCTGAAGCTCCTTCAGCCTCACTATGCCTTGATTTTCTTTCTACATAATTCATGTTTTTGAATTAAAGATACGCAGACTTGGTAGTCTAGGTCCTTCTCAAGAGAGAGACTGAACTTAGACCTAGAATCATGCTATTTTTTTTTTGGGCCTGGTATGAGCATGAGTTAAGCTAACATTTCATGGACTCTTCCCCCCCCCCCAAAAAAAAAAAAAAAATTCCCCCACTCTTCGGTGTTTAGAAACTTCGGTTACGAATTGAGGATCCACCACGAAGGAAGCACATGGTATATCTTGGAGGAGCTGTCCTTGCTGGAATCATGAAGGTTTGTGTTTTAACTGGACCTTTGTCATCCATCTCCATGATCGCTCTGGAAAATGTTTGTGCGTTCTACCAACCTGAACTATGATTATCTAAACTAGTCAAGTTCTGGTGGTTGAAACACCCAGGATGCACCTGAGTTTTGGATTAACAGGGAAGACTATCTGGAAGAAGGAGTTGCTTGTCTAAGCAGGTGTGGCCAGGCATGACTTTATGAAGTCCGTTACCCTCTCAAATTTGGAGGACCTTTTTCGGAATCAAAAATACACTCAGGGTGAATGGTGAACATTTCAAAGTTGTTAAAACTACTCCAATAACGTCATACATCAATTGCTGCCCTGCATAGCTGTCCCCAGAGCTCTTGGAGGCTGTAATTTTGACTCGTGATAGTCTATGCATTCATGCTTCTTGATCGATGGGACAAAAGAATCTTGTATCCTCTTGTTTTCGGGACAGAGCTGCTGTAAATTAATTTGTTGCCCTAGAAATGATTAGTAAAGAACAATTTATTTGTGTATTTTGAAAATGTTCTTTGTTTGTTTTACTACTTCCTAGAGATTCCAACATTTGCAAGTTGAGAATAGCCAAGCAAAATGTTATAGTAATTTCTAATTTTCTTCACGCATGTTTCCGTGTCTTGGAAGTCTGGGTTAAGCTGGCTTATTGATCCGAGTCAGGAGAAGCTTCTTGCGGCGTTTCTTTCAACATCAAACGATTTTTCCTTTTTTTACACGCATGTTTCCATTTGGGATGAAAGCCTAGGGACCCCATTTTTTAGCATTTTTTTATTTTTTATTTTATATCCGCAAGGCAAAGTAGAAGCGAGCTGGGCGTGGATGAATTGAATTATATCGGAGGTTTCTTTCTAATAGTTTTACTGTTGTTTCAAAATAATTGTTGCTTTAAAAGTTTTATGAAATATTAATTATTTTTCTTTAAAATTTTATTTTTTAAATTAGGAGGGCGTGAACCCTTTATCGCGATGTTAATTCTATTTTAATGACGGTATTTAGTCAAACACCGTTAATTCTATTTTATTGATAATTATTTTAAAGTAGATGAAGAGTATGAGTGTTTGTGTGCGTGTGTTCGTTCTGATGAAGGTGTGTGTATTTTTACCAGAAGATGAAGTGTGTTTTTAGAAAGGAAGGACGAACCAGGGTTCAGTGAGGAAAGTTGCTCTATTTTATTTTAGTATTTTGGCCTGAATGAGGAAAGTTACTTTAATACTTACTGAGTTAATGGGTTTTATTATTGTTTCTTGGCCTAAATGATGGAAGATACTTTATTTTTATAAAATTCAATTACGTAATTGGATTCATAAGCAAAGTAGCAATACTTAAAAGCTGGACCCCGTCTGAATTATTTCAAACAATGATTCATGCCCACTTGCGACGGGCGTATCGCCAACGTACTAAAATTCTCGGAGTAATGACTATAATAATGATATGAATGGAGAGAGTAGGCAAGGACTCGACAATTTCGTATCCTTCATTCATAGTAGGATGGCAATCGAAAAGAGTGAAGATCACAAATTATGAGACGTGGTCGTATATCGTGACATGCTCAATCAACGCAGAACGTGCTTGCACCCTCGCACTGCCCACTGCGTTTTAAGTCTACTGTGATATACAAGCTCAGCCTAGAAGGAACCACATCCATAAATATTATCAAAGAAATGGAAGATTTTGCGTTAAATTAAATCTTTTGTTGCTTCGTTTTGCAATCGTACTATCAACGAAATGGAAAATTAAATTGCACGAAGTATGTGGCTTGGGTTCTTTAAAACTGCGACTGTTAAAAACAAGGTGGGATGTAACGTCAGGCAGTGTATAAATGAGTCATCATGTTCATAACTGAACGCGTTAGTTAAGCGGCTTGAGCTCCAAAAAATCAACAACAGGTTTAATATTTGTTTATTTTAATGATGCCTTAATTAGACAGTAATATTGAAAACTCAGCCACTTCTAAAAAAGCCAAAATGAAAAGTTAAATGGGGAAGGAATTAACAAAATTTAAGTTAGCAATAGTGGGATACCAACCACACCAAACCTGCCCATAATTTAACCAGCCTAGGTTCCTTGGTATTGTATTTGGTCCCTTGACTAGTGACCTACTCTCACCCATATTGAGTCAATCTTGCACTCATCAGCTCTCAGGCTCTCTATATTTTATAGCATCTTCCGTTTCCTATAAACAACTACTTCTCACTTTCACCTTACATCGCTTTATTTAATAACAAGAACTCTACGTACCCATCCATACACATATCTCCCAGAAAAGAGGCATTTTTCTCTGCTCCAGACTCGAGCCCTATCAAATTTCGTGAGAGACTCTCCGGTATGAGAAATACATCCCACGTGCTTCTTATCATGTTTACATGGTCACATGCTTCTTAATTTGACAGAAGCCAATTAATTCTTTCTCTAGATTGTATGCGCTCTCATTTTATGTCTTTTTTAACACAGGCTAGATAGATCATATCGAAGTGTTGGCTAGCTGAGATGGAGAGAGCTAATGGCAACGGTTTCCAACTTAGCGTGAAGCTAAACGAACCAGTTCTAGTTACTCCTGCAGAGAAAACACCCAAAGGCATGTATTTCCTGTCTAACCTTGATCAGAACATTGCAGTGACTGTTCGAACTATTTATTGCTTCAAATCGCCTGAGAAGGGGAATGACAAGGCAGGGGAAGTGATCAAGAACGCTTTGAAGGAGGTTCTGGTTCACTACTACCCACTTGCTGGGAGGCTGAACATAAGCACAGAGGGTAAGCTCATAGTGGACTGCACTGGGGAGGGTGCCTTATTTGTGGAGGCCGAAGCAAACTTGGCAATGGAAGAGATTGGTGACATAACAAAGTCAGAACCTGGGACTCTCGGCAAGCTTGTTTATGACGTTCCGGGTGCAAAACACATCCTTCAGATGCCTCCTTTGGTTGCTCAGGTATGTTCTTTCTCTGTGTAAACCCCAAAGAAATTACATGTCTTGGAGGGAACTAAAAACATATAGCCTTTTCAAGCTCCTTCCTTATAGTATGATAACATTCTTTGTAAACGTACTGCAGCCGTATTAACTATTGTCTCAAAGTCCCGTAGGGCTTCAGTTCTACACGCTAGGAGTATCTTGTTTATGCAGTTTTACAGTGATTATATATGTTCTCATTTTTTTTGTAAATGATAGACTGCCAATATCTATCATTAAGTGGTCAGAAGACTCACCTTGAGTTGATAAATCCATGAAGTTTGTACAGCTTATTGCAAAGCTGATGCTTCAACCCTACATTATTCCAGGTGACCAAGTTCAAATGTGGAGGATTTGTTCTTGGACTGTGCATGAATCACTGTATGTTTGATGGCATTGGTGCTATGGAGTTTGTGAACTCTTGGGGTGAAGTAGCCAGGGGCCAGCCAGTGTCAATCCCCCCATTTCTGGATAGAAGCATTCTCAAGGCACGGAACCCACCTCAGATAGAGTACCAGCACGAAGAATTTGCTGACATTGAAGACAAGTCAGGATCTAAGGACCTATACGAAGATGAGATGGTCTACAGGTCCTTCTGTTTTGATCCTGAGAAGCTGAAGCAACTGAAGATGAAAGCCATGGAAGATGGGGTTCTTGAGTCCTGCACGACTTTTGAAGTCCTCTCAGCATTCGTCTGGGTGGCTCGAACCAAGGCACTAAAATTGTTGCCAGACCAGCAGACTAAGCTCCTCTTTGCTGTCGATGGAAGGGCCAAGTTTAACCCTCCTCTACCAAAAGGGTACTGCGGTAATGGAATAGTACTGACCAATTCTGTTTGCCAAGCAGTTCAGCTATCAGAAAATCCTCTCTCATTTGCTGTGAACCTAATTAAAGATGCTATCAAGATGGTCACAGACAATTACATGAGATCAGCTATAGATTATTTTGAGGTGACAAGAGCTAGGCCATCTCTGGCTTGTACCCTTTTGATCACAACTTGGTCTAGGCTTTCGTTCCACACCACTGATTTTGGATGGGGAGAGCCTGTTCTTTCAGGGCCAGTGTCTTTGCCAGAGAAGGAAGTGATTTTGTTTCTTTCTCATGGGATAGAGAGGAAAAACATCAATGTGCTTCTTGGTTTGCCAGCTCCTGCAATGAAGATCTTCCAAGAGTTGATGCAGATATAGAGTCACATTTATCTTTATATGATCGTGTCGTTATTTATTCCATGATTATGCTCTTTCTTATATTCTGTTATTATCAGTTTATAAAAGGGTATTTATTCAGTTCTTGCTCATCAATGATTTATCCCTTCTTTATATAGTAGTGGTGCAATTTTACATGCAAAGCCACAATTTGGGGCTTCGTAGGGCGTTATGAACTTTTACATAGAATTGTTTCTTCAAGATATTTGTTTGGGGGGTGCTGTTGCGGCCCCTTGGTTCATTGACATTTCTTGTCTCAGAAGAAAAAAAGTTAATTATCTTTTAATAATTCTTAAAGCAGACGTAGGAATCTACACTAGACTTTTAGTTAGAATCTGTGCTACAAAAGAAAGAAATATCGACTTCAAAAGCAACGGCTACGTCACTTGTGTGTTTAATCTGTTGGGTTCTATAATATTTGCCTGTTGACCTAATTAAACCCACAAAGTGATTTTCCCAATCTGATAAAGTTGGTTAAACCAACGCAATGACTTGAAATAAACTTCACTGAACTTTGAAGTTGCCATTCCAGAGAATCTTTCAAATATGACTTGCTTTTATTTTCTGTACCTAACAAACAATACAGCTATGCTCCGATCGAAAAGGAAAGTCCACACCACCATACTATAAGATAACTAAATAAATGCTCTATAATTTCAAATTTCAACATAGCAATGATATGTGATCCATTTCACGACATGGAAGTTGATTTCAAAGAAGTTCGGGGACCAAAAAGGGTTATGATTTTTCAAGTTTTCTCTTGATTCTAAAGTAACGTTACCAAACATGGAAATTAACTGTACCGTCATGAAACAAACAAAAGACGAAGACAAACTGTCAATAAGAAAAGGGTTACATGAGGAAAGAGCGATGGGTTTGCCCTGCTAGGTCTAAGATCTGATTGCTGATGTTGATCCGCATAAGAAAGAAACTGGAGTTGAATTAGTTGCATGAACCATGCCCTGCTACAAAACCATTCTCGTGGTTATTCACTTGTTTGAAGAAAAAATATACTCATTGCTAATGGTTAAACAGGCTTAAAAAAAAAAAAAGAAGGTAAAACAGATTCAATTGTTTGCGAATTGGGGCTGTTATTAAGCATGTTTCGTGTTTGGTCAAGACAGGAAACGCACTCGGGCAGCGGGACAATTTTATAATTTTTCGGGGATTTTCTCAGAGAGCACGTGGATTTCTTGTGCTTCTCTGCTTTTAGTTTAATTAGAGGTGGCTTCGTGGGCAACGTTAGAAGCCACGTGCTAAGGATTTGGCGAATAAGATTTGCTTTCAGATTTCCAGGAGAGGATGCGCAAAAGACTAATAAGACAATATTTGACCTAATTCAAAATCTAATCTCTTTCATAAAAATAGTTAGATTGAATAATCTATAGTGTAGTTTTACACATGCTTCACCCCAAATTAAACAAGACCAAATTTAATTCATAGAATAGAGAGGCTAATTTTGACAATTCAATACCTTTTTGTTTTTTTTATGAGAGAAAATAATTCATTTTAATCTAATAAACTCAATTATAATAAAAAAATATTTATAGTCATATAAAATTTATCAAAAATATTAAAAGTTAATCATAATATATTAGGTAGGAAATTAAATTTGAATTTGGATCTCATGCTTGTAACAACTATAAGCATTGGATGCCTATATCCAAGCAGCAAAATCTATGTTGTCCATTAAATCAAGGGTTTGAAGAATTTTATTACAGTCAAATCAAAAAACACTAAATTTAAATCCATCTAAATCTCTAAATAACATCACGTACTGAATGTCTGCCCCATTTCCTACCTAAAATTCAAAACTTTCTTAAATAGTCCAAAATTTCATGCTCCTTTTACACTTTCAAATTCCTTACCTATTATTAGTATAAAATCTTCCTCCATTTCCTAGGGCATAGAGCAATATATGAAGGAAAAAACAATAATATAATAATATAAATCCATTGATAAATAATGTGTAATATAAACTCATATATCATAATACAAAAATCACAATAGAAAGATAGATAAAATATCATAATATTATATAAAAATAATAATATAGCATACATTGTTTAAGAAAGTTTTGAATTTTAGGCCGAAAATGAGATAGACATTCAATTATACTATTTAATAGATTTGGATGAATTTGAATTCAATGTTTCATGATTTTCGTTGCAAAAAGATTCTTCAAATCCTTGATTTAATAGATAGCATGAATTTTGTCACAAGGGTATAAGCATCCAATGTTTGTAGTTGCCACAAGCATGAGATTCAAATCTTATGAAATTAAAGAATGAAATGAGACATTGAGTTTAACAATCATATTAAACCAAACCAAATTAAATAGTTTGAAAGCTCGATCTTATATCTAGTCCAACCCAAATATGAAGTTTAATCTTGTTTGTCCTTTTAATCCTTCAAGTCATTTTTTTTACAGGACTAAACCAAATTGAATTTGTGTGTTGGATCAAGTTGGATAGGACTACTTGGACTTTCATACAACCCTATTACCATATTTGTTTTTATTTAGGATAGTTTGATTTAGGTCTCTTCTTCATTCCACTTCATCCTTGCCATTGGCACACAATCATCATTTTTTATTTTCAAATTTTCTTATATTATTAAAGGAAAAATTATAGGTACTTGACTCAACATAATTTTAGTCAATTAAATAGTTGATTCAAATGATTTAATTGTCCCTCATGAAATTAAACATGTAAACAACTCGTATATAAAAAATGAACAACTAACGTAGATGGAATGATAGTTGCAACTTTACATTAACGAAAATTGCAAATTTTATTTATATTAGTTATTTATTTTCATATATTAATTATTTATTTTTTATATATCAATTATTTATTTTTTTTTATATGAGTTGTTTGTGCATCTATTTTCATTTAAAGATACAAAATTATTTGAGTGATCTCTGTAATTTTATTTTAGTCCCCCACTATGGATTAAAACTTCAAAATTTTGAGTTAACTGAGATTATGTTGGGTGTGGGGCTGACTGAAAATTTCTCTTCATTCAAAGCGCAAGGGAAGTCCTCTTTTCGTTAACCTTCATCGTCTTCCGTCTTAGGTTATCAATGCTTTGATACCTCAAGTGTGCGTATTCTGCATATTTATTTCTGTCTGAAATCAGTTCATTGCGAATTGGATAGCTGAGATTACAGCTTCTGTCGTTTGCCTTCGCTTGAAGATTACAAAATTCTATACCAATAATCTTCCAAAGAGCCTTACAACGAATTTCTTATTGTTCTTTGATGACATTTTTCATTATTACTCTCAGAAGAAGAAATTTCAGAGTCAAAATTATTGGTGATTTTAATCGATGAACGAGGATACAGAAGCGTGTGCTGCAATGCTGGCATGTCCTGGTCCACTGCAAGTATCTGAACTTTTCGACATTACGCTTGGTTTTATTGTCCCAAGCGAAAGGGAGGAGGACACGAGTTACTATCATGCACTCTAATACTCTAATTCTAACCAATTCGATTCAGGATTTGCAATGAGTGCTCACTGTAAGTCACTAGGATGATCCTTAGCTGGGAAGGGTGCGCAGATAAACTACAGATCTGGCATCATGTTCATTTTCCAGCTGCCATTTCAGCTGTTATAATTGCTTTCTTATTGTTTTCATTATTGCTGTGGTGATGCTAGCACCAGCACAAGTGCACAACATGGACCACACTGGTGTACTCATTCTCTTGGATGCGTCCGAGGTGAAATTTCACCTGCTGCGATCTGCCACTATGGAGCTAATAAAGGTGATGACAGGCTGGCTGATTCTTTGTACGGATTTCTTAATTGTTCTGTAAAGGTAATGTAGCAATAGCAAGTGTGCATCATGCTTAAGGGTCCTTGCAATCACGTAAAGAAATAGGATGGACAAGAAAAGCAAATAAATCTTCAGATATAGATTGATATGCTGAGGCAATTGCTAGAAACCACACTCATCCTAGCATCACAAACAATTGCAGTTATGAATGTTAATTGCTAGGAATGAGCATTGCAAATTTCGTGTGGTCTACTCTCCATCTGATAGAATTAAAGAAATTTTTTGTCTTTCCGGTTCTCAATTTGCATTTGGCACATTAATTATAATAGGTTTGAGCTAATCTGATGGCTAGTGAAATAGTTTGAGGTCTCAAAGTTTGTCAGTTTCCAGTGGATTTCCAGTTTACTTATTTACTGACATACTGGACCGCTATTCTGCTTTACCCGTTGAAAACACTCCATTTTTATGGAACACCATATCATTAAACACAGTCTATCCCCCGGTAATAAGCTGTTGGGGAAATTACTTGTTCTTGCAATTTCACAGAAAAGAAGTCCTATAAATGTAATCCATTTTAACGGGGACCAAATCAACTGCTGAAATCAAGTTCTCTTTTCCAGCCAAAGTCTACATGCATAATATTTTTTTTTGCATAGTTGATATATTACTTCGTAATCAAACAAATAATGCAGGTAAACAATCAAGAGGGAGAAAGAAAATATCTGTGCCCCTGATAGGCTAAAATAAGATAGCGCATATCTGAGTTCTTGGAATTTGTCAAACACAAGTGGCCAAGTAATTCAACAGACTACAAGTGTAAGCTGCTTCTTTTAGTTACCACACAAGGCGATATCCTTCTTAGATGGTCTGTAACTCAAAGGAGTTAGACTGTAAATGCAGAGATTGTCTCTTCTTGCTTTGACTGTTATCTCATTAGATGTGCTTCTGTAGCTAGGAACATCGCATGAGGAGGATGAACTCCCCATTAAATTTACTTGGCAAGAAGATGCAACATCAGGGTCTTCGGCACATTTCACTCCATCAACTGATGGTATTTCCAGCTTGTACATTCCATGCTTATCTGTCGTTCTGTTCACTGAAACTGTTATCTGTTCCTTTGTTTTAGCTGAGCGCGCTTTAAACATGCAATCTATTTTGACTTCTACTCCTGGAGATATTCAAGGAAGTAAAATGTGTGAACTCTTTTTCATTTTCGCTCAGTACCAGAACATACATGTTCCTCGAAGTTTAATCACAATTAACAAAACTCAAATCTAACAAGAATGTTGATACTCATCACCTGACAGGAAGTAGCTGTGTCTGGAAAAGCTGTTATTGGAGCAGGTGTCACAGTAAACGAAGCCCATCACAGTGATGTGGGAGCTGGGTAACCTGGGTTTCCCTGGCAGCCTGGGTTTTGCGGGCTCAACTTCCAAAACGGGTGTAAACAAGGATAAAAGAAGCAAGAAAACTATCGGGTTCATGGCCAACTTTGCAAAAATGGAGGGAAGCTCCCTAGTAGTGTCTGTGATGTTCTGCAATAGCTTTGCTTTCAAAGGCCTTGACACATAGTAAACGAGTTCGCTGTGTAGACAATGAGGGGAAGATGTTAGTGGTGAACAAACTTCAAGCGAAAAGTTGGAAATAATTTATCTTTTCCATATGAAACAGAGACATGTGAATGTTATTTGGCAACATATGGAACTTATGAGTAGGAGAGAGAATAGTCAATAGATGGTGGATTCTTTGGAATTTTCCGGAGCTGGGAGGCATGTAGCTTGATAGCCTCTCTAGAGAGATTAAGGTGGGGGCTTATAAAAGCACAAAAGAGGACTTGGGATTAATCAAGGATCATAGGCATAGCACTTCTCTCTACTGGGCTTTCTGCAATTTGAACCAAGTGGGTTCGAAAACCACCAATGGGACGCTAATTGCAATGAAGCTCTACGGAAGGCCAGAAGGGAAGTTTCGACACCAAACTTACAAGGATGAGCACCATTCTTAGGATGGAATTTGAAATGATCCAGATTTCAAGTATTATTATATAATTTTATATTATATTTATCAAAATAAAAGGTTATGAAAATTATAAAATAATTTTAATATTTTTTATTTTTAATATAGTTTAAATTTAATTTAAAGGGTCCAATTTAATATTAAAATTTTTATTAAATGTATTATACATAATACAAATATACTTCAATTATATTATTTGTATTGTATAGAGTACATATGGATAATCAATATATATAAATTATAAAAAATTTTATATTAAATTGGACCCTATAAATTAAATCTAGATCAAATTAAAATAAAAAAGTATTAAAATTATTTTATAATTTTTATAAATTTTATTTTAATAAATATAATATAAAATTATATTTAAAATCTGGGTTGAGATCTCATCCCAAGGATGGTGGGATGAGCATAGAATTTGAACTGGTTGGATACACTCTTGTTCAGTACATAGGCACAGGGCAACTTCTAGTTGGAACCAATCATTTATTGGAACTATTGCAACAACAAAAGGGTCAAGAACCGAAGAAAAGCTTGAGGAAGGTTAGGAGCATTCCCGTAGGCTGTAGTTGCATTTGCACCTCGCAATGGTATATGCCTCACTATCTGAATTCAAAAAGAAACTAATAAAACGAACAATTTTACAAAATTGTGTGAAGATTAAGCAACTAAGAGGGCTTCTTCTTCTTCTTCTTCTTCTTCTTTTCCTGGTATTGGAAGGTGTCTCACTCAACCTACTATTTTAGGTTTGGATGAAGAACCTCATATCCACTTCATTATCACACTGTCACTTACCAGTGCCAGGTCACCATCTTGCTCGTCACCATCAATCCCTCCTGTGATCCATTTACAACGACATCAAACGACTGTCGCTTACTCGCTTTGCCTTAATTAGAAACGAATGCATGCAGTACAGTCATTATCATAATTTTGTATTCAGTTTTCATGCATAGTTTCGGTCTGTATATCTCCACCTCCTGTTTTCAGTATGATTTCAAATGAATTTTGCATTCCATCTCGAGCGGGGCCGAGAGACGATCAAGATTTCTGGCTCTCAGATGATATTAATTATTAATATTGAAAAAAAAAACTATTGATGATTTAGGTGTAGTCCGAAATTCAAGAAAATTGATAAATTATCAAACAACTCACCTCTTTTTCACAAATGTTAAAAGTTGAGGAACATAGCTCATTTTGATTTGTAATATTTTGGCCTGTTATTACACGTAACTCAACTCTAATCGGTATGGGGTATGCCATATAGTCGCACCCGTCCGTTCCTCATTTTCAGGCGCGAATCTCTCACTTTCACCAAATTAAGACATTTCTATTGATATCGTCGTGCTTCACAGATGTCACGTGTGTACATTACTTCTGCGGTGTGGGTTCTCACTAATTTTCTACGAATTACAATATAAATCCTTTTCTATAAATTTTGTTTGGTCTATAATATAGAGAGTAGGTATTATATATATATACATACAATGGCAAATCCAGGATCCCAGGGAGCAATATTTATTTAAGAAAAAACAAATGATTATGCATATTGTAATATAAAATTTAATATATACAAAAACCAAATAAATTATAAATTAGAGCTTAGATTCATAAAATTTAGATCAACATCTTATTGCTCCCCTAATAACAAAATGTTATATTCAAAATTTAGAAAAAATTATATTCATTTATTTTAAATAGTTAATCAAAATAGATAAGTTCATGTCATCCAAATCCTAATTTTAAAATATTAACATAAAAAAGCCCTTAATAATTATAATAAAGTACTAAAAAAATTCAATAACCTTAAATTAGTTGCATATCACCTGTAATAAACATTACTTCCTGACCCCACCATCATTCCTTTTACTTTCCTAGTTCGTGGATTATATTCTTCCCCTTGGTATCGTGAACAGCATTCTTGTTCCTTCTTCCTACTACTTTATCGGGTGCAAAAATTATGGATGAGTGGGGGCATAATGTTAAACTCTATATTATTCATTTGGAGTTACACAAATTCGAGTGGAGGCATCTGCCCACGCTCACACCTACATAGGTCCGCCACTGTATATATATATATTAATCGCACCTTACTTCATTGAAAAATCAATGAGTATGTTTTAAATAATCCAAAGGTTAACTTTATTACACTTGAAGGTACGATTAAAATATGTAAACATATTTTAGAAAATTAAGATGTTAACAAGCTTTTTGAGACATGTAAATCAATCCGTAATGAATTATATTGTGATATTGGAGAAATATTCCTTCCATCTTTATATATAATGTGTTTTTAACCAGATTTTACATATCAATAAAAGTTTGTTATATAGTTGAAATCATATGAAATCACAATAATTTTTTTATTTTATCCCTAATAATGTCAATTAATATTATAATGGTGGTGAATAAAGCACCAAATTAATATTTTTTTTTTTTTTTTTTCAAGATAAAGGTAAAACTATCTAATTATTTTAAAAAAAATCATGACATTTCTTATATTTAGGAATAAAATATACTTATAGAAAAATGCAGGGACGGTGGGAATATCAATTAGGCAGCAATTACTGCACGGCCATTTGCTTAACTAACGATAACTCCACGTTAAGTGCAATTAACGACTCAGCCTGGCACCCCACAAGTAGCATGGCTTGGGCCATCCCAATGATTGAAAAGCTGGATATCCATTTCACCAAACATGTAACCTGACTGGTGTTGGCCCATACCCTTATTGTTAATGGTTACAGCTTGCTTGTGAAGTTATCATCGTGAATATGAGTCACTTCAAATTATTTTGCTGAAATTAGAGATACGTAATTAAATTAGTAATTTTGACCTGAAAATAAAAAATATTTAATACATCATTCTTAGAAAATTTTTCTCATACGCTTAAATTGATTTCAGAAAGAAAAAAACCTTGTTGTGGATTGGAAATTATAGAGAGGGCCATAAGGGACAGGTTGGCGTCAGAAAATGTTTCTAGGCGGCATTGGGGAATGTCCGCAGCCCCACAAAATACCAATTTCTCTCGTTTTATTCTTCTGCGCATTTTTAATGTATTCCTTGTTAAGATTATATGTCAAATTTACTTATTCACGGGTAATATATCTTTTTCAAATCAGAAATAAAGATATTATTATTAATAGTAGTGCTGTTATTATGCCGTTTGATTATGATTACATGGTCGCATGAATGGATACTAGGTAGTTAATTAATTATTTCATCACAATGGAATGTAAAAATTATCAATGCTATCTTATTTATGAAAGCAATTCCACGGGAAAATTAATTTGAAAACCATTTTAGCTTTCAGGATTAAATTGAGCACTTACTTGTTGGAAGAGTGGCAGTTTATTAACGATAGATAAAAATAAAATCTCAATCATAAAGTCACAGCAGTCATCGCGCGTTTTTACTTTGGGTTCCGTCTTGTAGTATATTGTTGCTACTTCTTGTTATCATGTCTCTGTCTCTTCTATTTACTTGCCCAGTACACTCGCACTGGCCAATTGTTAGTTACAATCTAATACAAGCAAAACTGGGCCTTTTCTCTTTCTGATAACAAAAACACGATTTGTTTTTTTAAAAAAAAAATTCAAGCAGTCGCTTCAATAGTTTCCTCTTATAAACTTGAGACTTGAGAGTGAAGCGAGAGCATAACTATGACAAATTTTTTTAGGAGGGACGTCATATCAACTGCGGGAGTACTCACGTGATCAAAAGAACAAAATATAAGAAAAATAAGAATTACTTTTTTTTATTCTTGCATTTTTAACCGTCCTAACAAATTAATTAACTGTCTTTAAATTAACATAATATTTATATATTCATCTTTATCAATTTATTTTAACAATAAAATAAGTATAAAATAATTTATCTATTAAGAGTAACTTAAAAAAATACATTAATGATATTTTGAAATAATAAAAATATTTTACATTGACCATCTAACCCTTGAAAAAATATATTTACATTTCTAAATGGAAAGTTAATATGATTATTAATTACAGCACTGCATCACACACTATTTGTTCGCCGGGGAGGGACGCAGAGGAAAAGCCGCAGGAGGGAACCGCATCCGTGTTGCGGAGGAAGAAGCAAGACTCCGTCATTGGTTAAATAAAAACTAATTAAATAAACACATAAATTTTTAGAAAAGAGATGCCGCCGATGAGGGAGAAGAGGTGGGGACAAGCGCTCCATTCCTTTGGCAAATCCAAAGGGGGAGGCCGCCCCACCGACGTTGGATGCGACGCCGTTCCCTATGTCTCTTTTCTTGTCCCTTTCCCTTTCCCTTTCCCTGCCGAAACCCCCTATGCTTCACTCCTCTATGACAATGTCAACCTAATTTTTTAATTCTGCATCTCTTATTTCCTTCTTCGCTTTTTCCCCCCTCCCTGCATTGCTCAATTCTCATATCATTTATTGTCTTTTTCAGAATGCTGAGCAGCATCAAGTGCTCACTATCAATTTAAATTGTCTACATTGATTTCCTGCAACACGAGTTTATTTTTTCATTTTTATATTTTTAGTATTTTTTATGTTAATGTGTTTAAATTTTAAAACAAAGATAACCTTATAATTTTTTTTCAAAAATTTATTATTTAAAATTTTAAATGTAAATCAAGGTTCAAATTCTATTTTGAGAGAGTTGTCACATCTAATGCGGTGCCTTTAACAAGTCTCTTATAATAAAAACACGCTCAAATGCAATGAAAAATAAATAAATATGAAAAGTTGAATTCAGAGAAAAGCACAGCATTAGCACCAAAGTCCAGTGGTTTTCCTTCATTGAAACCATAGTAACCTTTTATATTTCACCACCTGTGTTTTGATTTAAACAACCAAAACAAAACAAGAAAAAAGAAAAAGGCCAACACTGAATTGGCCCATTCATTCCATCTCTGTCTCTGTCTTTTCTTGGCCAACGAGGAAATTCCATATCTGTCTCACATTCCATGATTCTGCACTTTTTTCATTTTTTATTCCCTCCTTTCAGCTTTCACGTCATTGTCGCTTTCCTATTGGCAATGCTGCCCAATTGCAGATTAACAACTAATTACGGGCGATTCTCATAATGGTTCTTAATTAACTTAGATGCCCAAAACTCAGATGGGCCGGCCCAAGGTGAGTGGGACCCTGCATATTCTTCTTCGTCGCGAGGCATGAGTCCTGCACGGGCCAATAAGTCAATATAGTAAACAGTTAAAACAGGTAACCAAAAATGACAATATGGAGGCCTCTAAAATTCCAGCTAGAATCCCAAGAGGGCTTAGAATGGAGATTATCAAAGACAAGCCTCCAATCACATACGACTGAAATTAGGTTTTGTCCCCACAGTCCCCCCCTTTCAGAGCCATCTACATGAGAAGCCAGAAAACACTGTCTCTGCTCTTTCCATTAATACTTGATTCAACTATACCGAGTTGGCTAGTTAATTTCAGACTGAGTCGCCTTCCCCTTCTTATTCCTTTCGCTTCGTCCAAATCTCAGAAATATCATATTTTCTCGTGAACCTCTCTCAGGTATTCGAATTTTTTCTTGCTACACTGAGAGGGATCAAGAGGTTTTTATTTTTATTTTTATTGTTTTCAGACAAAAATATGATCAATTCACTTTGTGGAAGTTCACTGTCCCTCAAGAGTGAGAATTCATGCAACAAATCCAGCCCACTTCTTCAAACGACTCGGGTTTGCAGTCCAAGAAAATGCTGCCCAGTCTTCTGAACATTTAGAGCAGACTAATCTAACCCCTCCCAGCTTAAACCTTCCTGCGTTCAAATTTGACTTGGATGGGGATGTGGAAGTCCAGTCACCAGATAGTTCCATGTGGGAGTCTTTCTTCTCCGATCAGTTAGACGCCGATTTCATGATCTCTTCGCCGGTGAGGAGCATGCCTTCCCCTCAAGCTTCTACCTACAACTGCAACTACAACTATGCTCAGGCAATGCAGGGACAGAGTCTCTCAGGTTGTTCACCTCCGCGCTTCTCATCGCAGATCGGAGCACTTGCCAGCGCCCACAAAGGTAAAGGACTCAGTCCCCTCCATAGGGTATAAACTCTCCAAACAACCAGTATATACAGCCCGTGGAGAACCTTTCACTTCGGACCATAGAAGAATTCTTGGGGGACTATCAAGGGGATCATGGACTCGCTGGTGGATATTCATCCACTAAACTGTCTGATATTGGAAGTTCATCAGACTGCTTTGACATATCAGCTTCAATCCCGCCCATTTTGGACAGCTTGACGATGGCAAGTTCTTCAAGATACTGTGGATCATTGAACGAAGAATCTTTAATGCCGGATGGCTCTCAATTACCGAAGAGAGTGACGTGCATCAGATGAGCGCATCTCTTTCACAAGCTCTGCAGCAAGAACGCCAGCAAGAGAAACAGCAAAAGCAGCAATCGGAACAGCAATCACACTCACAGCCACATAGCTTGATGGTGCCTATTCCTATAGGGACCGAGCAGGTAAAATCTTTCCCATTATCGGTTCCCATGCAGTTCAGTTTTCTTCAGTGACTCATCATGGATGTCTTTTGCTTTAATTTCCATGTACATAAAATTCAATTTGTCTTGCGTCTTCGTCAAAAATTTTAAGCCTGACATTTAGCTGTCTTCTTAACACAGTATCAGATACGCTAATTACTGGTTATTCTATAACGAGTGTTGTTTTTTTCCCGATTGAAAGAGGAATTGTATTAATTTATAAAACAAAAAATGTACAGAGGCTACAAGCTAAGGGAGAAAACTCAAGACAGAAACCAAAGGAACATCAAAAAGTGTTTGTTTTTAGTATTCAGATATATGCACACGAGAAAATAGAGAATAAATCAAGATAAAGAAAAAGTCAAATCATACTTTATGCATGCTTTCGTGTGGTTGACTTATTCTACACATGCTTATGTCTGATCTAGCGATTTTTTAACTGAATAAATAGGAGCAAGACAGTGGACTTCAACTGGTGCACCTGCTATTAGCCTGTGCTGAGGCAGTGGCCAAAGAAGAATACATGTTGGCAAGAAGGTACTTGCACCATCTGAATCGTGTAGTAACACCTCTTGGTGACTCCATGCAACGAGTCGCGTCCTGTTTCACCGAAGCCTTGAGCGCAAGACTCGCAGCCACTCTCACCACCAAATCCATCATCAACTCCTCCAACCCTAAGCCATCCTTCTCTGGTTTCCCGCAACACTCCATAGAAATCCTCAAGATATACCAAATCGTCTACCAAGCTTGCCCTTACATCAAATTCGCCCACTTCACCGCAAACCAAGCAATCTTCGAAGCATTCGAGGCCGAAGAGAGAGTGCACATAATCGACCTAGACATCCTCCAAGGTTACCAATGGCCCGCGTTCATGCAAGCACTAGCAGCCCGACCCAGTGGAGCCCCGTTTCTCTCTGCGAATAACTGGCGTCGGGCCCAGCATCGAGGCCGTGAGGGAAACGGGCCGGTGCTTGACGGAGCTAGCCCACTCTCTCAACATCCCCTTTGAATTCCACCCGGTGGGCGAGCAACTAGAAGATCTCAAGCCCCACATGTTCAACCGTCGGGTCGGAGAGGCATTGGCGGTGAACTCCGTGAATCGGCTTCACAGGGTCCCAGGAAACTGCATGGGAAATTTACTGGAATAATAAGGGACCAAGCCCCCAACATCGTAACCCTTGTGGAGCAAGAAGCGAGTCATAACGGACCGTATTTCCTGGGCAGATTTCTGGAGGCACTGCATTATTACTCAGCGATTTTCGATTCTCTGGACGCGACGTTTCCGCCGGAGTCGGCGCAGAGGGCTAAGGTGGAGCAGTATATATTTGCGCCAGAAATAAGGAACATAGTGGCCTGTGAAGGAGCGGAGAGGATCGAGAGGCACGAGAGGTTGGAGAAATGGAGGAAGATAATGGAAGGGAGAGGGTTCAGGGGGGTGCCACTGAGTCCGAACGCGGTGACTCAGTCGAAGATATTGCTGGGTTTGTATTCGTGCGATGGATATAGGTTGACGGAGGACAAAGGTTGCTTGCTACTGGGATGGCAAGACCGAGCCCTAATTGCTGCATCTGCATGGCGATGCTGAGGCTGAGATACAGACACACACATACATTGTGCTCAACTGTGTTTTATTGCATGTGGTTCTTTTCCCTTTTAAGGCTTTAACCAAAAAAACAAAACAAAATTTGTTCATTACTTCATCCTATTTGAAATATAGTAAGACGTATTTTAAAAAATCTCATGTTCTTATATACAAGACATTTGATCTTTTTATATACTAAAATACACTTGTAGAAATATTAAAATTACTTTTTAAAAAGTTTTTTCCCCACAACAATGATTAATTATTGGCATTGAAATCTACATAGTAGGAAAAAATTATTTTTCCTCATATTTTTACCCTCCTTTTAACGCCACAATATTAAATAGTACTTGTTTGAGTTGAATGAAAGATACTGGAGGGAGACACCAATTAATGCAACCACGCTGAAGTCTTAGTTTGGCAGGAGCGTGTTCATTCATGTAATTAATATCCTATTTAGAGAGTAATGAGTGAAAAAAAAAAATAATCTTATTTATAAATCACATTATTAAATTTTTATTATAAATTTTTTTTATTCACTCTTAAATGTTGGAGAGAGAAAATATATTATTAAAGTGTATATATTTAATAAAAATAAAATTAAAAATTTATTAAATTTTAAGATAGAGTTAATAAATTTTAAAATTTTTTTAATGATGATGAAATATGTTAGAAATGACTTATAAATAAAACTAAAAGAGTAAGTTTCTGTTATGGTGTTACCAGCAGTGTGCTGTGTTCTAGGGACGAATTAATTGAATCACATGGTCGAATTATTTAACAATACTTACAAACCTCATCTTATATATTTAATTAAATCATGACAACTAAATTTTAAGGGGTTAATAATATTAATAATGAGAATTTATTATAAAATAAATAATTAATAAAATATTAATATATCTTAATTTAATTGAAAACAAACATATTAAATATGTAAAGTTAAATATATAATTTTTCCTTATTTTTTGTCTTTTAGTTCAAGGCTTGTGAATTGGATTTCATTCCTTAAATATAAAGATAACATTAAAAAAAAATAAACCTGTTTCATGCACACCCTCTAACAAGCCAAAATAGGCCATAATGATTTGTCAAATATCAACAAATATTGGCCTCGCTTGAAGGTTCTAGGGTGTTTAATTACAATGTTTAAGGTTCTGGACTTCCGGTCCGCAGGAATATAAACTTGTCCTTGAGTTTGCAGGGAAAAAAAAAAAAAAATCGTTTTTGAAAGAGTTGTCTCTTCAGTCTTCAGATCCCACCCACCTTGAATTCAAATTGGTCGGAAATAACATAGTTTTAGGTAAAAATGGGAAATAGAGAAAAGGAATAAATTTTTTTAGATCTTGAACTATTTAATTGTTGGTCAAAAAAACTTTTTAGTTGACACGTGACAACTACCAAATGATAATTTATTTTTTATAGATATTTATATAATTTTAACCAAATAATAGAAAGAAATCAGGGAACTGAATCTCCTCAGCAGCCAAATCTCATTAATACACACATCACATGACGATTAAAATACATATGAATATTTATTATTAAGGAGTTATATATATATATATATATATTGAATATTGTGTTCGATAGAAATGGGTCAGGTTTAAATCAGATTTTAAGTAAACATACTTAGTTTATTTTAAAAAAATGACCTAATTATAAAATTTAAGCATGAACAAATCATGTCAAAATTTAAACAAGATATATCGTCTGTTTCTACAAGCCTTTTAACTTATTTAATATAATCAACATTTTTATTAAATAGGCCGGCCTACTGAGACATATAGCATGTCCTGTTAAAATTCTGATATGGTCTATTTTAAAAAAAAAACATGCCTGAATTTATAATTAGCTCTATTTAGATAAATAAGATAAGCCTGTCTAGTCAAAATCTAACTTAAGCTTGACCTATTTTTCCCTATATGTGATACTTCAAAATGTATTTCTTTACTATTTTTAAATAAATTATTTACATATATTTTTTAATAGTCATGTGATGTGTATTGATGAGATTTTGACCATTTGAATGGTCGAGATTTAGCTACTAAAGAATGCTTAGAATTTTGCCGTGAGAGGATTCAAATCCAAAAATTAAAGCATTTATTTTTTGATGTGATTATATGATATCTAGTAGTCCTATTTGGTTGAACTTGACGATAAATTTAGTTGATAACATCTTGCTAACATGATTTTTTTTATATCCATGGGTTTTTTTCTGGCCAACAAAATATTCTCACTAGCTTTAATTGAAGTCTTCTTTTAAAGGGTTAAAATACATTTTTTACTCATATACTTTTCTTTCAAGAATGTTGAGCACCCTGGTAATAATAAATGATCATTTCCTCCCAAATTATTTTTCAGATGAGAAAAAACCCCTGCCGTTCACGAATATTTACAACATTTGAATTTCAGTAAATAAAAAAATTTGCATAAAGAAATTTGTGATTGACTGTTCTATTTAGTCATTACCAAAAAAAAATCATTACTTAAATTAATTAATTATTAATAGTTTTTTATTTAAACTTTGGGTATTTCAATTATTTTTATAAAAATATTAATGTCTTAAAGGTTTTTAGAGACTTAAGAAAAAAACATGATATTTAGTGAGATCTTATTATCGTTTACATATTACAGGAGGTTAAAATGTATTTTTAATGAAGAGGAATTTTTTATTCCTCTAAAAAAAAATATCTCACTTATTAATATAGATATTCAGCAGCTTTCGAGAAAAAAATATAGGGATAAAATATATTTAAATCTTATTCAAATGCAAGAGTCATAAATTGTGTCTTGAACAGAGAAATATGCTCACTCACTCGAGATTACTAATTTCCCGTCATCTCTCCACCTCCTTACCCGTCCTCGACCAAAAACATGTAGACAATCTTTTTCACCCTGGCCCTTGGAATGCGTAGCCAGGGTTCGGATCCTTCTAAAAGCACATCATTAAAGAACGCATAAGACAGACGCTGTCATCATACT